ATATCCTTCACTAGGAAAAAAAACACATTGGATCTAGAGTCCAGACTCTTAAAAACATCGACAAGAAAACGTACTCTTGATTCAATCAGAATCTAGCTGAAATCAAGAACCAAGTCTCTTAATTTAAGCGGATTTCGTTTTGATTCCAGCAAAAATCCGATTGAATCAAGAGTATTTTTTCTTGTCAATGTTTTCAAGATTCTGGACTCTAGATCCAATGTGGTTTTTTTTTCCCCCAGTGTTTTTGTCTTCTTTGTCTATGACTTTATCTATCAATTTCCATAATCGGCCCGCTGGTAACTGTAACGTACTCGTAACGCAGCCGTAGACCTCCGTCGTCCCTCCCTGAGCGTTACGTTTATTATGAACGGCTCAAAATCCACGACAAAGCACCCTTGCTACCCTCCTTTCCCCACATGGCTTTGCGATCATTAAACTGTGCTCGGAGCAGAAATTCAAAGCGACGCTATGCGCAGGATGCATTTCCTTTATCGTTCTTCCTGTGCACTCGGAAATGCAGGAATTTAGAGGCCTCAGTTTCGAGCTCAAAAATATTCTTGCCGCTCCTCTCGCGTCCCGTCGGGCCCTTCCTCCCGCCGCCACGTAACGATCCGAGGTTCCCAGAGTGAGGTTGGCATGACTGAGCCATTTTAAACGCTTCCTTTGTGCGGCGCGAGATTTATCGAGACCAGAATTGCAGTTTGATGAAATTGAATTAGTTGAAAAAAGAATAAAAAAATGTATCATATTGTAGCTGTTTAAATTACAGAGAGCATTCCGATTATTCCCTCCCTCCGCCTCCCCCCCCCTCACCGCCGTCTCCGTCATAACTTTATTCAACTTCCATACTTTCCGTCTATGCGCCCGCTTGTAAAGTAATGCCTTACTAACCCGTGTTGCCAAGTCTTGCTTGAAAAAAGCGCATTTCACATTGTTTGAAACGGGAGAGTTTGGTATACGGCAACGCTGCTTTGGCCTCATGCAGCGACGAGCAAAGATGGGTGCAAAGAATTCCGTTAGCTGCGGGGAATTAATTTTTATCCGAGCAGCGTGATGGAGTTCATTCTTCGGCGACGTGAAGTTACGACCTCATCCGCTTGACGTAAAATGTTTCAATTGACTAGATTTATTTATAATCGCTGAGTAACATTTGATTGCCTTTGAATGTGTTTCTGTTCTAATTAATTTAGGGTGGAACGATCAGTTTTGAAGCAGATGTTCTGAGCGCGGTGAACTTAAAATCATCGGTGATTCCCATTATGTTATTTTTAACCTTATAAATTATCTGCTCAGTCAAACAATTAATTGAAATAAGAAGACCCTTAACGGAAGGCATGCATTTCAAAATAAGCGTTACCTCTTCCTTGATATTTAACCTGGATACTATGGATACGATTTCGGGATTTATTAAATAAGATAAAATCATGTTGACTTCATTTACATGAGATTCAAAGGGTCAATAGGTGCATGTTACAAAAAAAAAAAAAAAAAAAAAAAAAAAAAAAAAAAAAAAAACGGAGTGAGATGCAAGCAACTCGAAAACAATAAGTCGGTAAATTACTTGCAAGACATGATACAACTTCATTAACGTCTATGCAGTCATTTTGCCTACTCGCCTTTTGGAAGGAGTTTCTAATTCTTAGCAGCGTCTCAAAGCCGTATTCACAATCCCTCCTTGAACGACTCCTTTCCTCAGCAGGGAGATAGATTCAATTTGGTGTGGACTGTGAGTGAACAAGGTTTGAATTTTTTGTAGTTGCAAAGCATTGTATAATCCCTTGTGGCGATCTTTTTCCAAAATGTATACTGTTGGAATATACTCGAGGTTCGTAGAAATATTTTTGTGATGTTATATTTAAGGTCTCTACGAACCTCTCTTGAACTCACAGACTACATTATATGGGATGTTCGTAAGTGAAAGAACTGTCGAAGGAACGACTATATATGAATGTGGTCTCATTATTAAAGCTGAATATCGTCACTTTCCAGCCAAAGTACTAATACCGCAATGTGACGTTCAAAAATATCCGCCGCCATTTTTTTTTTTTTTTTACAGAGAAATTGTTCAACGAAGCTATCTGAAAATTTCACTGAATTTTTCTTTGTGCTTCCGATAAAATTCAGTGAAATTTTCAGGAATTTTCAAACAGATTCAACCGAAGATTCTCTGTGGAAAAAATAAAATGGCGGCGGAAATGTTTAAACATCGCATGGCGCTTGCGATACTTTGGCCGGAAGGTCAAAGGGCGTATAACGTCATATATTAGCCTTATTCTACTGCGGAAAAAGTGGGATCATTTAATTGGCGGATGATGATGGGATGTTGTGGGTGCAAAATTTTAGCCGTTTATTTTCATCATCCTCCAGTTACGTTTTTTTTACAAAAACAAGCAAACATCGCCTAAAATCTTTCAAATAGTTTGATTAAAAAAAAAAACAACTAAGGTTTAAGTATCTTGGATACTGCAACGTTACGGTAGATTTTACAGGTTGCACGACGGATGGCTGCATTTTGAGGATAAAGTTACCCTATAAGCTGCGCTGTAATAATTCGCTATGAAACTACTTTTATCTCAGCATTTTTTCCTCGTTTTCTCTTTCGTCTTTTCCCTTCGGTACACACTGTCGGGAGTAAGGGGAAAAAATAAATTCTTCCCCGCTCCGCAGAAAGAAGCGTTGTCGCTAGGAGTTCGGGTTTCCGTCAACAGGATCCTTTCCCGCTTGTTTAATTGATCCTCCGCCGGAGCCCGAAAAAACAAGAGGAGAAAGGAGGTAAACATGCATTTAATTAAAACTTGGAGCTAATTAGTTTCGGGGCCGCCGCCGCCCCGTCCCGCCACAAAATGGCGCAAATGGCAACTGGAATCGACGAAAGTCGTGACGTATGGGTTTAATAAGATAGTAATTAATTTTGGATGGGGTCGAATCCTTGGCGCGATTGAGTAATCGAGGTCAGTCGGATGAGCTCAGCAGTGTTCGATGTTTTTTTTTCAATTCTTCATTTTTTTCTTTTTCTGGTAAAAATTAGAGCTCATACTGCTACAATAAAAACAAGCAGTTCCAACGCCAAAGCGTTGGAGGGCGCTTCTTTAACACTGCGCATGCGAGGAACGTTTTCATACGGCCAAGCGAGAGTATTGCGGACGGACGATGTATAACAAATTGCCTACGTGAAGGTGGTCCGGCAGCAACATACCCGCCGCTAGTCTCTGGAAAACAATAGAAAATAGTAGTTGCGTACGTTGCCAGCGAGCGCGCTGCGAGCGCATCTGTTTCAATTACCTAGCATCGAGTCGGGCCTCTAACTTTCTATTCTCTCTGACATAACCTTAAACCTTCAACCCAGAGCCGCAAACAGCTGACCAAAGACATAAAGACGGAGTGCTCGTATCTAAAAGCACGGGGAAAAAGTGAAGCTAGGTTCGGCGCTGCGCGTTTGTGTGAGTGTGTAAATGAGCGCGGGAATCCATGGCGGCAAACGGAAATTTGATTTGAACTTGTCCTCTTGATTTTTCCTTATTTCTTCTTCGAAACGTGTTTTAAATGCTTAAAACGATTATATTAAGAAAGTTCGGTCTGCGTCCTAATATATTACACCTACTTTTGCTCGGTAACAGGCAGTAATCTCAGATAAAGTTAGTTTTTCTTCTGCTTATGGTGGTTCTGCAGGTTCAAACAGGCCGTTACAGTTCTAGATCTACGTTACTCCCAAATGAAATCAGTCGGTCGACGACGGACCGAAACTAACCTAAAGTTAATAAAATATGAGTGTGTACCTGAATTTGGGCAAAAATCAACCTAAAATACTTTGTTTCCGCAATTTTATTTATTAGTTCCCGCCCTACATTTGAATTCAAACTTGTCCCGATTTCGCCGCCAATCCTCTAGCCAATAGTAGAGGTGATTGAAAAGAAGCTCTAGAAGCTTCATTTTTTGCTTTTAGTGCTCCGTCTTTATGTCTTTGCAGCTGACGCTTGACGATGCTGCGCCGAGAAAATGAACCAATCACAAAATAGCACAGTAATACGTCACTAAAATGAAGAGATCACGTGACTGTTCGTGATTTTTTCGAATCAATCTGAAACTACAACCTCGAATATGAGGCATTTAAGCATAACGAAGCCCCAAAATAGTTTAACCAGGTAATACGTCCGTGCGAGATTGTTATGCTTAAAAGCAAAACATTTCACGAAAACTTTTACGAATCCCAGATGCAGAAAAAAATCAAATTTTCCCGGGTGTACCAGAATGGCGTCATTACCCATAAGGCAAAACGGTATGTAGTATAGTACATGTTACATCGGGGGAGTCGAACGGCTGGAAAGGGCGCATCTGGTACCCAGAAGCGCCCAAAATGTACACCGAGAGGAAAAAAATCTAGAATTCGGAAGTCAAATTAGATAATTTTTCTAATTAATAGGTGTTTCATATGAACCACTCACTGGTAAAAAAAAAACCTCTTGGTTCAAGAAAGCAGTTTCTTGTCGCCGGATTTAAGAGTCTGGACTCTTGTTTCAATGAAAAATCCGCTTGAATCAATGCAAAATCCGCTTGAAACAAGAGTTCAAGACTTTTGAATCCGGCGACAAGAAACTGCACTCTTGTGTCAATGCACCGCGGCATTGGTCCAAGAGGTTTTTTTACCAGTGCTAATTGGTTTACAATGCCACAGGGTTGCCACAGAATTTAGAAAATGAAATTCCCTGACATTTCCCTGATTTTCCTGACGCATTGTGATGAAATTCCCTGACAATTAAAGATCTGACGGATGGTTCAGAAGGCATAATTAAAAATAGTTTTAAGCCAAATATCTTGTTCAAAATCTCAAACCTATTCTAGAAAGCAAAGGAAGGTGATTTTTAACACATTTTCCCTGAGATTTCCCAGTTTTCCCTGGCTTTTTAAAATTCCCTGACATTTTCCGGTTTTCCCTGACCGTGGCAACCCTGTGCTATAGATTTTTCTCCGTGCAAAGAGAGAAGAACTGAGAGGAAACTCACCACTTCCAGGGACGTATATGTTGAGGTTGAGGCAGTCCTCGCTCTGATTGGTGAGGTAGGGGACGAGGCGGTTGAGGAAGGCGAGGCGGCCGCGCGGCATGGTCTGGAGGACAGCCGTGACGTTGCTGAGGTCGGGCGGGCGCTGCGGGCAGACCGGCGGGAGCGTGTCGGCCAGCTTCGTGCCCGACCACCGCAGGGGCTCCCGCGCCGCCGCCAGGCGCAGGTCCCCGACCGGGGGCGCCGCGTACGGCACCCCCAGGAACGCCTCCGTCGGCTCCAGGTGCGGCGAGTTCAATTCCCGGATTATCTGCAAAAAAAAAAAGAAAATTATATATGTATTGTAAACATTAATAGCTTCAGTGTCCGAAACTCATCTTTGAGTTTCAGGAGCCACGTGGCTCATCAAGCTCGATTTTTAGGGGCAAAATTGACTTTAGGTGGGAGGTGAGGATCCTTAGGTGAAATTGCGATCAGAATTATCTGAAGAATTGAAGGGAAAGTAGTCACAAATTTCCCCTAAATTTCGTAATTTACCAAAGGGAATTAGGCAACGCCTGAAGGTTTAACGGCGTTTTCCCTCGACATTGTAATTCTTTTTTCTAATCCACTACTCTAGTTTTAAGGTGTATGAATGAAGTCTGGGGGCTGTGCAAGAATAGGTTATACATGCAAAAGTTAAAAATGAAAATTAAAAATAGTTAATTTGGTTGTTATTATATTTGTAAAACAAAGTTAATTTACACTTGTAAACAGGTGGTTGTAGCATAATTTGATGAAAAAAAAAAAAAAAAAAAAAAAAAAAAAAAAAAAAAAAAAAAACCGGCAGCACAGGATTGCAAAAACGTCATTATCGTCATCGACGATCCAACAAATCCGAACTAGCGAAAGACCATTTTCCACGGATGCGGAAATGATTAAGGAAAAAGTCCCAGCCTCCGGCTCTAAATACGCGTATTTACGCACAAGTGATCGGGACTCCCCCCCCCCCGGCCGCATGTCACCGGGGCGATGCGCCTTTTTTCAGCCTTTGCAGGAGAAGGGCGGAGATAACGGCCGCGGCCCCGGCTCGTTTGCGCCCGAGTCGAGTCGGGGAGGCTCAAAGGATAATGAACTCCCCGGCGGAGTCATCGGGGCCCCGGATCGCACCAATTACCTTGATTAATTTCGACGGATTGAAACTTTTTTCGACCGGAAGCATTACGATAAATTAGACGTTTTAATTAAGATTCCGTCGCCCCGACTCGAAACCGACTTTAATGGCCCGCGACTCTTAAAATCGCGCCCATGAATTACTTTTATGGGCCCGAACCCGCGGTCCGCGCACCTCCGCATCCTGCCGCGCGCTCCATCTGATTTTCATAATTTATTCCCGACTTGTCGGTTTCGTCCGCGGCTCCTTCTCCATGAACTGAGTTTTCTTTTCGGTTGCTCCACTTCTTTTCGCGAAATATCCCAATTGGACCACATTTTGCCATAGGGAACCACTATTTCTGGCTCATTATAGAAACAACATATACGTATATCATCAGTTTCCCGATGCAGAAAGGTGCTTTTATGGAAGAGCCAGAGATAGTGGTTCCTTATTGCAAAATGTAATCCAATTAGTCACGGGCGTCATTGAAACCAAATCATGGGAGAGTTGGGGGGTAAAGTTTCGGAATCTATCCCAAAATGACTTAGAATTGGTCAAAATCGACAAAAAAGAGGTCAACTTAACACTACGGGTGATGGAAGGAGTAAAACTTTGGTCGGCTATGTCTTATCGTTGCTTTGTCGTGCTTTGTCGGGTGAAATGGACGACAAACTAAAGGCACTTCTTGAGTATTCGACAGTATGTCGTCCATTCCACCCGACAAAGCACGACAAAGCAACGATAAGACATAGCCGACCAATCACGCTCTGCCATTTTACTTATGTTATCCATTTACACCCGACAAACACAAAATTTTAACAATCAGGTCAGGCAGCTGAATGAATTGTTTCTTTGCACTGGAAAAAAAAAACACATTGGATCCCAGAAATACAGACAGACATAGTCCAGACTCTTAAAAACATCGACAAGAAAAAATACTCTTGATTCAATCAGATTTAAGCTTAAATCAAGAACCAAGCCTCTTGATTTGCACGGATTTCCTTTTGATTTAAGCTTAAATCTGATTGGATCAAGAGTCCTTTTTCTTGTCAATGTTTTCAAGAGTCTGGACTCTAGATCCAATGTGTTTTTTTTTTTTTTGTTTTTTTTCCAGTGTGACATAGCAAGCATCTTTTCTTAACACAATGAAAAACTCGCTAAGAAACTGCTTTATTACGACGATGAATCCGATTTTTCTCGGCGTATAGAATATAAGAAAAAGAAAAAAAAAAACACGATTCTCCACTAGGTAAAAGGACTTCCGGGGCTCTCAAGAGGTGCGGAAAATAACCGAGCAAAGATATGCGTAGAGGGCGTCGCATTTAAAAGACCAAGGTAATAAAATTTTATTAATAGATTAAAGGCGGGTTCAAGTGTTGATTTTTTATTCAAATCCCGGCCGGAATGTTGCGTCGAGGCCCTTAGGTCGAGGATTCTGTAAGCCCGTCGCGGAAGGGAAGAGGGGAAGGGGAGGGGGAGGGATCCTTGGAGTGGCTGTTAAGAACTGAATTTAGTCGTGCTTGGCGCATGAAATATAGGTGCTTAACTGTATGCATGGATTCTTGCTGCATCCCATCAAGAGCCGCCCTCTCCCCCCCCCCCCCCCCCCCCCCNCGGCCGTCGAGGCCTACTCTGCCGTGCTGGGGAAAAACGCCGTACGAACCCTCAGGCGTTGCCAAATGTCCTTTCGTAAAACGCGAATTTCCTGGTAAACTTATGAATATTTCCCTCCCATTTTTTCAGATAATTTAGTTCACAATTTGACCTAAAGCTTCTGAAAATTTAAAGGACAAACATTCATAGCTTTCCTAAAAAATGAACATTTTATCGAAGGAAATTTGGCAACTCTCGAATGTTAATACGGCGTTCTTCCTTAGCACGGCAGCACTGCCTCCAGAACATCCCCTTTCCCCCGACGCCCCGTTGTCTATAGTTTTCGGCCGCAAAGAGAATTCCATTAAGCAGCTTTGCAGAATTTGAATATCCAAGCTGGGGCTGAAAATTTTCAATTTATACTGAGACTCGTGAACAATTTTTATTCGAATTGATTCGATAAATAGGATATCAATTGGATGGCCGTTTTACTCGCTACTTAAATTACACTTGAAAAGGAAATATTTCCGTACACAAGTGAATTAAATAAAACAGAGACAATTTAAAATGGGACTAAGGCCGCAAAAAATGAAAAGAAGATGTAAAATAAAAAACCCGGAACGTTTCGCGGTTATTACACCCGCAGTCCTTTTACTGGCAAAAAAAAAAGAAAATTAAAAAGAAAGTAGTAAAACTATGAGCCTCGCCGCTTTTGTTACGAGACTCAATTATAAATTGAATTAAATAAAAGGAAAACGTGAAACAAGCAAATCTTACTTCCATGGTTTTAGTTGTTTAATACAGTGTGTCCACGGTTCTATTTAGTGTAAATGCGTCCATTTTCCCTTATGAAGTATTTGTATTAGTGTATTAAACCATTTTTTCACCAAGTTTGCTGCCACAGAAAAACTTTTGACCTGACAACATTTTGAAGGGCTTGACAGGGCTGCCTTTTTATTTGGAGACTCCAAAACTGAAAACACAGCAACCCTGCTAATGTATTTGCTCCCTATCTTTGCATGGAGAGTTTGTCTTGATGTAGAGGTGGACTCTTAGGGTAGCGTGGGATATCTCCTCCATTTTGGCCTCAACTTGAGAGCTTTTTTTGAGCTTGGGAGTTGATTTCAGAGAAAACCAGTGGCACCATCGTGTTTCTCGCGAACTTTTACAAAAGAATCAACGGTCATATTGCAAAGTCCTCACACATGCAACATCTCTATTCGACGGTGAAACTACCAAACCACGTATCTCGTTTGCGGTGTTTAAAAATCTACGCTCACATTTTATTTTTTTGAAGTAGACCAAATCAATATCATTCCTTGAAATTTTCACGGAATTTTCTCCGCACAAAGAGGAAAAATCACAGAAATTTTCAAGACTGGATGTTAAGTAGTTTTTCATTTAAAAAATAAAGAATGACAGGAAGTCTGCGACGTCGCAAACCGAGATACGTGGTTTGGTAGTTTCACCGTCGTATTGTAAAAAGGAAACATAAAACGTGGTGCTTTAACTCAATCTGAATACGTAGAGGTCCATCATATTTGGATCGGCTATTTTAGCACGGTTGTCGTAAATGGATAAAAACGGCGATGAGAGTCTTCTATACTCGTATCATAACCGCGACTGACGTTAACCGATATCGAAGCCGGACGCGGGATGATGAGCGGTAAGACGTATTAATTCATCCGACGTGTTAACACGCCTCTAACGTGACGCGCGATAGGCGATAGGTGGGAGCCAACTTCTCTTGATCCGGAAAGTTTGATGCGGCACTTCCAAAGTGACTGCCGGCTACAGTAACTTCACGGCAACTTCGGCACCGGTAAACGCCGCGGAGCTTTCATTAGTCGCGTGACTAAATTCCCTTTGAGAGAGCGCTTGAGGGCAAAAATCGGATATTGCTGACAGCAGTTTTTAATCATCGCCGATTAATTTCCCAAAGGGGCGAAGGGGAGGGTGGGAGCGAAAAACGAAAAAGTCCCGTATAAAAAAAGCTCTGAACTAGTTCCGACCCAGGGTGCACGCATACAAAAGGGGGGAAAATTGATAAGGGCACTGATCCGTGTGCCGAGTTCAAACAGATGCAAGGCGCAGGCACGGCAATGATACGGTCTATACGGGGTGATTCAGAATTAAATGGAAAGATTTCAGGAGTCGATACTCTGGCTTATATTGGGAGCTTTCTCGCATTATTATACTTTTCCCGAAACCGCGCATTCTTGGAGCTTAGGCCTTGTCTCCACGGGACGTTTCATGGGATTTGTCCCACGGAAAAATCTCACTCGCGAAGTTGGGAAAAACATTGAATTAATCAAAATTTTTCCAAGTACTATGTATGGTCCTTGTACCCATAGGATCAACTGAGAGAGAAAGAAGTGAAAGCGAACTAGACGATATTTTGTTGGTTACTACACTGTTTGTGTTTGTTTCGTTAAAATAATGTGTTTCCTTGTCAATCGTGTTCAATTATTATTTGAATTCTTGATTTTTACTAACTTATCTTCCCGCACAAACTTGTCGCAGGTGTGAGCCTCGTCCCGTGGAGACGGTAACCGAGAAAAATCCCAGAAGTTTCATTCCTG